AATATTTTATAAAGGAAATTTCCTTGTATTCCAATGTCATATGATGCTAGTTTTAAGGCCTTTTTGTGCAGAGGATGTTGTTTTTGCTAATTGACTCAGTCAAACTGTCCTGATGATAGGAATAAAATTCTCGAAAGCTTGACAAATTTGAAAAAAAAGTAGTTTCATTAGCCTGTGTAGTGATTATTGACTGCATCCTCACTTAAATTTTGAGTTTTTTTATATGAATATATCTTACTTTAAATCCTTTTGCTTTGACGTTCCTCGAGATGTGTGAACTTCCTGTCTTCAATAATAGCTGAATAAGTAATTCATTGTCATTTAGTGCGTCCACAATCGATGCAAGAGCATAAATAACACTACTGCAGTGGGCTCTAAACCTCTTATTAGTACTTAGTTGATCTAATGGGACATTTTTGAAGGGGAATAGATCTAAGTATTCTGGATGGTTCTTTAAGAATCTAAAATTAAAAGAAAAATAAATATTGCATACTTTAAATGTATTATGATGAATGTTTTAGATCACAGAGTCATTGAAAAATGCTGAAATATGGTACAATCAAGCACATGATGTATTCAAATAAAATCAACTTAAACAGATCTTCAAAAGTATCCAAAATGAGCTTTTAAAACTGTAGATTTTCAAAAATTAATTCCTACGACTATATTACGTTGAATATAGAAAAAAAAATATTTATATACCATAGCCGAAAATTATCTTTTGTATAATATAAATCCACCTATTATGAGTTACCAAGAAACCTAAGAAAAATTGCTTTCAAAGATAGTTTTTTTAAGTGAATAAAAATATTTCTTAAGAAAAAATGGACTAGAGTCGGAAAGGTCAATTGATATGATAATTATATTTTTATGGCGAAACCATAAATATTATTTATGGATGCAGCTGTTGGTGAATTTTTATAAACAAAAAATTACTCAATAAAAGTCAATTACCTAATACATAAATACCGGGTACGTCTCAAAAGTGTATCACCCCTATAACTTTTTTATGTTAGTATATGACATAAATTAGGATTGATTGACTTATTCAATTGTTTTAGGTCACTTCCTGTTTCACCGGAAATGACTACAACCTTTGCCTTTTAAATGGCACTCTAGGTATTTTTTTTTACTTTATTCGATAGAAAATGACACTCTGAATAGAATGACATATCCATATGTCAACTTTTGACATTTTCTCATATGGTTTATTTGAAATTGTAACATGCGGTTCAAATTATTAATAAAAAAATGATTTTTCCAAATATGCTAATGAATGCCACCCTCGTTCCATTTCTAAAAATTTGAGATATTATTAAAAATACGATTTGGGCTTCTTTTAACTGGCCAGAACAAGACACTAAAACATTAGACGATTAAATCTATCTTTCTAAGGCTCCTTGATTAAAAATTAGTATTTTTAACACAGCCATGACACTCTAGATTGAATTGTTGTAGTCATTTCCAAGTGACCAAAAACAATTGAAGGGCTGGCTGCAATAACCAGGCAGCCCCACTTTTTTACGAAAATGAAATTTTTAATGAATTATCCTTTAAAAAAAATTGGCCGATCGTTTCCTGCAACAATCAGTTCTTTCAATATAACAGTACATAAATGGCGACGTCAATTGGAGCTGCCTTGCTATGGGTTTGCAGCAAGAACCGAGCAGCTCTTTTTCGATTTTCCACAAATTCATTAAAATGGAGCTGCCTGGTTATTGCAGCCACCCCTTCAACTGAATACGTCAATCAATCTTAATTTATGTAATATACTAACATACCAAATCACGTTTTTTTATCTAAAAAAAATAGACAAGTTAATGGGGATGAGCACCTTCGAGACGCACCCGGTATATATTTTTTTCTAAATCATACTTTACTGCGAAAAAAATTACGTTAAAACTGTTTTATTTAAAATTTTCATATGTAACCAAATATTTTTGACTAATTTCTTGGAAAATTTTATGTAAGTATGTACTAGCTGACCCGGCAAACGTTGTTTTGCCATATAAATTATTTTTATGATTACGCCTGATCAAGTGATAATTGATCAGTTATTGACCGGGGTTGAAAATTATTGAATTGATAATATCACTGTTAAAAAATAGGGGAAGATGGTAGAAGGGTGAAAATTTAGAGTTGTATGCATTTTTTAATGCCACATCATAAAAAATAAAAAGTTTGCTTCAAAAAATAAAAAAATTCGGGTGGACCACCCTTATCGCTTAGGGGTATAAAAATAGATAACAAGCTATTCTCAGACTTACTGAATATACATATAAAATTTCATCAAAATCGGTCAAGCCGTTTCGGGGGAGTATATACCGGGTGCCTCTCAAAAGTGGCTCACCCCCTATAACTTTTTTATTTTTTCAAATAAAAAAACGAGATTTGGTATGTCAGTATATGAAATAAATTCGGATTGATTAGTGTATTCAATTGTTTTTGGTCACTTCCTGTTTCACCGGAAATGACTACAATTTTTGATCTTTAAATGGGACCCTCGGTATTTTTTTACTTTATTCGATAGAAAATTACATTCTGAATGGAATGACATATCATATGTCAACTTTTGACATTCTCGCTTAATAAAAAATTGTATTTTAAAATTTAATCTAGAGTGCCATGTTCAAGACACTAATTCTTCATCAAGGAGCCTTGGAAAAATAGATTTTATCGTCTAATGTTTTAGTGTCTTGGCCTGGCCAATTAGAAAATGTTCAAATCATATTTTTAATCATATCTCAGTTTTTTCAAATGGAACGAGGGTGGCTCATTAGCTTATTTGGAAAAAGCATTTTTTTACGAATAGTTTGATACCACACATTTGGTATATTTCGAGTGAAATTTTCGTTACGAACCGCAAGTTATAATTTCCAATAAACCATATGCGAAAATGTCAAAAGTTGACATATGATATATTATGTCATTCTATTCAGAGTGGCATTTTCTATCGAATAAAGTAAAAAAATACCGGAGGTGTCATTTAAAAACCAAAAGTTGGAGTCATTTCCGGTGAAACCTGAAGTGATCGAAAACAATTGAATACGTCAATCAATTCTAATTTATGTCATATACTAACATACCAAATCTCGTTTTTTCAATTAAAGAAATAAAAAAGTTATAGGGATGAGCCACTTTTGAGACGCACCCGGTACAGTAACTAAAATTGTGACAGGAGAATTTTAGATGTAAAGATTAAAAATGGGATAATTAAAATTTTATAAGTTTTTACGAATTTTGTGTTGCCTTATTGTTTTTCAAAGAAAACATCCAAATTTGAATGTTTAAAAAATAGGCTTAATTAAACATAAAGTTGGGTAAATACTTTATATTCATTTATAATATTATAATATTAAATAGGTTTTCTATTTGAAATGGCTGTGGCAATACAACATAGCAGGTTTATATATAAAAATAGTTATATTAAAAAGAACTCAATACTAATTATATTTAATTTATATAATAGGGGAGAGATATAAGATTACAAAAACGGAGGTTTAAAGGAACAATAAATTTAAAAGACACTTTTACAATTTACTTACAATGTAAGTAGTGCAACACCGCTATCCGTAGAATTTTTCATAATCCTAGCCCATGATGTTCGTACCAAATATTTATCTCTGGATGTGAGTCCTGTGGCAGGATCAGGATCATCTGTACGTCCAGTATTGGCAGGACTAATGTAACTGACTATAGTGCCCATTCTGTGCCTGAAATAGCAACAATTAATGTTACGTTTAATCTATAATCCTATACACTTACAGGGCTTCAATTGGGCGTTTTTCAGCAAAATTTTAGCTAGGCCATAACAACATATCATGCATTATGTTCTTCAGTAGGGATGCGCAAAAATAACCGATTTTTCGGATAACCGGTAATTTTGTTCCAATAACCGGTTACTAATCGGTTATTTTTCCCTTCCGTTTAAACCTAATAACCGTTCATTTAGTTCATAAGCGAAAATCGGTTATTTTATTTTTAGTGACCTCGAACACAACTTGTTATATTGAAAAAAATAAGAATATAACTATTAAGAATAACTTGTATATAGAAGAAAATAATAATCATGTCTAAATGTAATCTATTAACGTAATAGAAGCGTGTAAGCTCTGAACGTTAATAGATCAGCTAATATAACAGCTCTTTATTCCATCATTCAAACTAACTTGTGTATTTAATGTCCTTAATTTAGATTATAATCTTTGATCTACGTAAGAGAGTAACACTAAATATCTAAAAATTAATTTGCACTTGCTTGCTTCATCCACGTTACCGTAGATGGAGCTGAAAGTTTTGGTAGGGTATATATAAACAAACAAAAAACAAGAAGCGGAAAAGGGGGCCAAAAAACCCTACATATATGCTTATTCTCTGCATTAAGTTCATCAGACTGAAGCAGGGCCCAGTCACTCTATGGAGCATTAAATTACAAATTGACGATTCGGCCCACTATAGATGGTGCTAATTTACGTCGTGTATATATGGTTGCAGAACAGTTCTTCGTGTATGTATGGTTGCTTCAAACGTTACGATTGGCTCGGTCTTCAAATTCATTTTATGAATTTTGCGATTGATTTCCCTCTTCCGTCCACACAGTACTTCAAATACTCCTTTATTTATGCTTCAAACTATATTTAAGCTGCCTTTATTTTGTTTTTAATACAAAATGTATTTCTCGTGCTTTTTATTGTATTCCGACTCCAACTTTTTCATATTATATTATTCAAAGGTCAGGGCCGGCTCTAGGTCTTTTGCCGCCCTGGGCGATGAGTAATTTTACCGCCCCATGATAGGCGCCCTGATTCTCTTAGGGAAAATTTGAAGTCGAGATCGAGAAACAAACTTTATTTATATCAACATACAAAATCGGGTAACAAAATAAAAAATCAAATATAAACTTAAAAAGTAAACTTAAAAAATGAATCAACGATGAAATTCTTAATTAAAGTGTTTTCGTGCTTTAGACGCAGCAAATTCAGTAAGTAGCTGATCAATTTTTAATTTTGATCCAAGTTCATGCTCAATAAGCCACTTAACCTTTCTTGGCTCATAGTTGATCTCAAGTACGTTTTAATTAGTTTCAACTTGGAGAAACTTCTCTCGCCACTTGCAACAGTTATCGACAATGTTAATAAGATCCTGAAGGCTACAACATTAGGGGCAATATTTAGTTGAATCGCCAATTTTAAGATTTCAATGGGAGTTTGTTTGGGTTCCACTAACGTACACAACACAGAGAGTTCATCAGCCAGTTCTGTCGCGTTCACGTCTAAAGCATCTTCATGTTTTAGAACATGTCCTAAATCATGGCAAAAACTCAATATCTCAGCTGACGAAGATTTATGAAGCAAATGAATATCATATAAAAAGTGGAAATATTTACTGTGCTCTTTTATTTGCTCGAAACGCTGATCGAGAGAGTTTGCAGCTGCGTCTAATATTGGAAAAAAAATCTTTTCTTTTGGGTCAACTATAGGTTCATCGGAAGCTTCGTAATCAAACTGACGTTTTACTTTACGTGTACGAGGTCTAGTTTTAGTTTCTGGAAAGTGGGCGTCTACATCAATCTCTGTTGCTAATTCTTTAGCATCTACCAAAAAACGGTTGAATGCGTTGTCAGAGCGAAGATTGTTGATATATGTCTTTGTTTATCCAAAATATTTATTGTGTTTTGTAAGTCCAACTGCTTGCTCTGTAATAATTTACTTATTGGATTTATGTGATTTAAGACGTCGTACCAAATTATAACAGAGCATAAAAATTTAAAATTCTTCAGTTGTTCCAGCAAACCTGAAGCTTCATTTCTTGCCGAAATTTCGATTTCAGGATTTTCAAAAATATTTAGCAGAGCATCATAGATTTCGCCAATTTGATATCTAAACGGCTTAACTGCATCTACTCTGCTTTCTCGTACTACTTAGGGGCTTCAAAGTAAGAGAAGAAATATGTCTCTTTAGGGTATCCCATCGTTGTGCGGATGCTGCAAAGAAAACATAAGTTTTTTGGATAATTCCAAAAAAAATTGTGGCTTCCAAAGAGGTCGATGCCATATCATTAACGACTAAATTTAAAGAGTGACTGCTGCAAGGAACAAAAAATGCCCGTGGATTTATGTTACGAATTCGGCTTTGCACACCTGCCCGTAAACCCCTCATATTGGAGCCATTATCGTATCCCTGACCCCTCATGTGTTCTATTGGGATTTGCATTTCACTTAGTTGATTAATTAGTATCTCAGAAAGTTGAAGACCGGTTGCTTTTTCAATCGGAACAAATCCTAAAAAGTGCTCACATATCTTCACATTGACTTCGTTTCCTACTTTGGAGACAGAAACAAATCTTTTATCATTGTCATTTGCTCTATTTTGCTGAGGTCTGTTTCGCTTCATTGACCTGAGTAATTATATGTTTTTTATTTCCTCTGATAGTAAGGTGATAATTTCATTCTGTATATTTTTGCCCAAATAATGTACTTTTCTGGTATCGTCACGCATAACTCGATTCACGTGTTCTTCCATTATTGGGTCAAATTTTGCGAGTAGCTGGACTAATTTAAGGAAATTTCCATTATTATGTTCGTAAAGTTTATCAGAGGAACCTCTAAAGGCCAAGCAACTTTCACCTAAGCATTGGATAATTGATATAATTCGCTGTACAACGCTGTTCCAGTGTTTAGTTTCAGAATCAATTAATCTTTGGATCAAAGCGTCAATAACTTGCATCTGATTTAACCTTATAGATAGTTCTGACCAGGATTTTTGGGCTAACATGTGGGCAATTGATAGTTCATGTTTTTTCAATGTAACTCCAGTATGTTTCCAGTTGTTGAATCCTTCATTAGATAGATTAGTTTTATTTGAATGAGCAAAGAGTTTACAACAAAAGCAGAAAAGAACATTTTTAGAAGTTGAGTATATTAACCAATTTCTTTTGACGGATTCTCCGTTGCTTAAGACACGGTTAAAATTAAATGAGGTAAATTTTCTCCCGTTTTTATCAAGGGGAAATCTAAAATTGGTTAGTGCTGGTGGTAGCCCTCTCTTCACTAAAAAGACTCTATCTTTATCCATAATTATTTCTGGCCATTTGGCTGGATCAGGATCGATTACTAAATTATTAGTTTCTTCATTACACTCGGGGTATGATCTCTACTAGTGGAAACCTGTCTAATCATTGTCTTATTTTCATCATAATTAAGATTTTCGACTACTGATGATGTACTCGACGTTGCGCTGACAGAGGTTGATCTTCTGGACCTTTATTATTTCTCTTCTTTTCTAGGAAACTTCTATTGTTCTCTCTCTCTCGCGCAATGCATTGTCTTTCTTAATCAAATTTGTTCACTTATACCCGAGGCTATGCAACACAACACACATGAGCCTTTTGCGGGTTGTCCCAATCATGCATACAAAGTTCGCATAATAATAAACTTATTTAAACAATGTTTAGTATCGGTTCTATTTATGTTATTGATGCCATTTTCTTTTCAAATCTTTGGCTTTGGAGATGTTAATAAAAATATTTACGAAATTTTTGAGTTGTAATTAATTTGCCACACCTGGATGTGCCGCCCCTAGCAGGCGCCGCCCCGGGCGGCCGCCCACCTCGCGCCCCCCTTAAGCCGGCCCTGTCAAAGGTAGCCGTATTTCTTAGTGCTTCTTGAATTATACAACTGTGATGAACTGCAACGAGATGAATTTTCAAAGTATAAGCAGCCTGTAGGATAAATTTTACATATACATTGTAGCAGGCTGAATTCATAATTTATTACCACAAAGATATAATTCTAGTAAAGGGATCTGGTGGTGTAGGGGATATGGCTCTCGTCTAGTAACACGAAGGTAGCCGGTTCGAGTCGTGCCGCAGACACAACTTTTTTATTTAATAAATAAATTATTTTGACCTTGAAGCCCTGAGCCGCACTCGGCCCGCTATAGATGGCAGCAAAAATTTTGTTCGCTTTTTTATTACATTGACTGATCGTTCTGTAGTTATTCTGTGGACTGAAGGGAACAGCCATTCGACGACCGGTTTCGGAGATTTATCTCCACCGTCAGGCCGACTTTGCTGTAACCAGGGTTCGGAAAACTACATGTTACTTTTAAAAACTACATAAACTACATTACATGTAGTTAATGTAGTTTATGTAGAGGGTGTAGTTTATGTAACCTATGTATGTAACTTTCAAATATCAAAGGTTTGAGGTGAGGTTATAATAAGTTGAAGCTTTAGAAAATAAATGTAATTTAAGAAAAACAGAAGAAATATGACTTTAAATATAATATCTACACATCATATTATTTAGACCACTCATACAAAGCAAAATTATTCATAATATCAATACATAGTTTATTAACGTAGTTTTCATGTAGTTAATAAACGGGAAAAGACGTAGTTTTTGAAGAAAAACTACACGTAGTTAATCAGGTAAATTACGTCTTAATTAACTACTTCCGAACCCTGGCTGTAACCCTCAATCTGACAAATCCTTCAGTCTGATGAACTTAATGCAGAGAATAAGCATATATGTAGGGTTTTTTTGGCCACTTTTTCCGCTTTTTGTATTTTGTTTGTTTATATATACCCTACCAAAACTTTCAGCTCCATCTACGGTAACGTGGATGAAGCAAGCATGTTTGTCCAGTAGGCCGTTGGTTTTAATTTTGGCGGTACGATCTGTGATTGTCACAGCTACCGCTAGATGGAGAGAGCGTCTAGCACTATCCATAGTAGTATGTTTTGTACTCAAATGCTATTCTCTGCTTTTCGTTTTGTCAGTTTGGGGATTGAGGGCAATTGAGGGTTACAGCAAAGTCGGCCTGATGATGGAGATAAATCTCCGAAACCGGTCGTCGAATGGCTGTTCATCAGACTGAAGGAGAACAGCAGCCTGTTTCTCCTTCAGTCTGATGAACTTATTGCAGAGAATAAGCATATATGTAGGGTTTTTTGGTCCCTTTTCCGCTTCTTGTATTTTGTTTGTTTAATTTGTACTCTTTTTACATTTTTCTTTCTAAAAAATCAAGTGATATTTTTTTCAGAAGATATTTTCGGTTAATTGTATCAGGTTATTTTCCAATAACCGCCCATCCCTATTCTTCAGGTAATAAAAAAAATATAGCTTCAAGGTATCTAAGAAATAAAATAGTATATGTAAAATACTGCCCTAGTAATATTGCAATATATTTTTCATTCAGAGAGAAAAAAGTATTAATGTTCCATAACAACAAATCGAAAAATATATGAAAATCCAGTAGCGCATCTATAGAGATTACGAGTATGGACGGGGTATTCATTCATTTCACCATAGACTTAGAATAAATTTTAGGCAAGTCTGTGCATTTCACAATTATTATTCTGTAATTTTAATTCACAGCCAAATTGTTATTGCTGTCATTCTTTGCTGATTCTTTGGATATCGTGTGTCGAAATCTTTCCTGACTCATTGAACAGACTTTAATTGATTTTTTTAAATATCTCGTGATAATGAATGTGAATGAAAATTCGAATTTTTTTTAGTTTTTAGTTAAAAACAAAATTTCTTGATAATATGGCAACATAGGTATTAGATTAAATTTATAAGAAAGAAAATCCAGAAAAGATCCAGTGGTGCTCAAAACTTTAGCTAAAAAAAACCTTTTTTTTTGAAAATTTTCAAAGTAAAATAACTCCGTTATTTTGGACTTATTTGAAAAATGATAAAGAGAAAATAGGTTTCTTTTATGGAGATCTATCGCCCTTTAAAATACTTGCACTTATTTCTGGGACACCCTGTATATACAAGGTAATCTATTTTTTTGGAACAGTACTTTAACAGCAGACTTTTTGAATAATTCATTAATGAAAATATCTGATTGACTGTTTTTAACCAAAATGTATAAGCCTAGCATTTTTCTTCTTTATAAATAAGATTTTTATACGTTTGCAATAAAAACTATCATTGTATATGTAGAAGTAGAAGTAAAAAGTTTATATTAATAACAACAAAGATTAGGTTGAAACCAGTATAGCGTAATTCTTAAAATTACTGCCAATAAACAAATACATAAATTTAAAAATATATTATTTCAATTGCTTAACAGAAGTCAATGGTTTTGTTTTTGTATTTTTCTTATTTTTAAAGTGGGCAACTACAGTTTATTTTTATAACCTCATAACTTTATTTTTTAAAGACAGATCTAACAAAGAAAGAAATATTTTCAAATTTAAATGATTTTGTAAAAATATATAAAATTTCCCACAACCCATAAAGGCTTGAATTTACAAATTAAGAGTCTATTACGCTGTACTGTTCGGGTTGCTCTCAGGGGTAGGGTAAAGCGGGTATGTGGACGAAGAAAATAGATATTATATTTCAGAAATCGGCCTTAAGCTTAGCCCGATCCTGTCGTGTTAAGCCCCATCCAAAATTCCAAACACACCTGCTTTGATTAAGGCTCGATTAAGGTTTGCAGAGCTTCAGCATTTGCCATAAAATAGAGAGCAATTTGTTACAAAACCAGATAAATTATATATCACTGTGATCACAAAATTTCAATCTATTTCCGTATTGTAACGGAATTATAAATTATGTCTTTATTTTCGAGAAAATTTAGTCCAAACGTAAAGAATATTTTGCTGATGTTTGACAATCAAAATATTAAAGATAAAGAAGTTGTCTAAAAATGTGCTACAAAACGGATATAGTATAATCCTTTATCTTTAATTTCCTTCTTCATTTGTGCAAAAATACCTAGCCAGTTTTACATAAAACGTTAAATGAAACGAACGCTTATTTTGCTACTTTTTCGGACTAGTAAATAGACTTTTAATAAAGATGAATAAATCAAATAGCAATAATGAAATATTCATAGAATTTTCTGTGACTAAATATAAACGAAGATCCAAGGATGAATTTATTGTGTAATATTGTTTTTAAAGAAACATATCATTAATCTAAAATAAATAAATAACAAAATAAGTAGATAATTCAAAAAAAGTTAGTAACTATATAGGGATGTAATAATTTCTCTGTTAATTAAAATTGACAAATATACTGCAAATAAATAATAGATAAAAGGATATTGAGGTCTTGAACTCTTAAGATTAACTGTCATAGTGTCCATGATACAAAGAATACAATAGTGTCTATGATAGGATAAAAGTCTTTACCTTAAACTAATAGTTGGTCATTATTATTATTATTATGAACTTTACACATTTATTGTTTATAAAATGAAACTCTCTATAGTAAAAATGATAAATACAATAACACGGAAAACTCGATCTGAAATTGGCGTTTTGCAAACTGTCGTGTACTAAGGATTTAGCGCACAACATGTGTCATTTTGCACACGACATGTGCCAATTTTAACATTTTTAACCTTTTTACGTTGCAGCCATCAGAAAA